ATTGTGGCATATATCTCGATATTAATATCTATATAAATATCTGTGTATAGATCATTTCTTTCTGGATCAGTATTTTATTTGGGCATATTTCTCAATATCAATATCTCTATGTATAGGTCATCCTTCCTTTCACTGTAACCAATTCAGAGTGTTTGCAAATTGTATCACTCTATGTCCAAACTTTTTATAGTAATGGAGAGTCAGTGTAAGTCCAGACATAAAACTAGCCTCAGGGAGAGAGCTGAGCTGCAGGGATACTAAGGTCCCACCTGCTCAGGACCAAGAGAAGAAAGAAGTGAGGACAGGAATCTGGATAAGGTCTGCAGTGCCTGGTCAGCTAGAACTGCTGTGCTTACCATTAGGGTAGCTCTACTTGGTGGTCACATGGAGATGGGAAACCTGAGTTTAGGAGAGGGATGTGAAGGAGGGCAAGGGGAGAGGGACACGGGAAGAAGAACAGGAGGGAGAGCACCGGAGGAAAGGAAGAGTATTTCTAACCAATACTAAAAATGAAAAAGATTGCTGCAAAACATTAGAAAGGAAATATTAGAGTAAGGTAAAAAGTTGTCACAAAAGGAAAATAAATATATTTCATGAAATAAGTGCTAAAAAGTGGTCAGGTGGAAAACTGGAAAGAGCAGGGGTAGAGAGTAGGGTTAGCTTCATTGGAGTTGACAATGACTTCTCTTCACTATAGTTTGCTGGGTCATTCAATGAAAAGCCCTGGTTCTTCCTGTGAAACAGGGGAGAAAAAAACCAAACTTGGGATAAGTTGAACTCCAATCTCAGAAAGACCAGTGGTCTCTCTGTGCCGTTAAATTCTGATCTCCGTGTAGTTTTTCAACACATTCAGTTTCTCTCCATCCTTATTCTTTTTTCCTAAATAAAAGTAAGTTGAAACTGTATGTGTTTGCACCCCAGCCCAAATATCTCCAGTGAAGAGAAAAACAAACAAAACGTTTTTTAACATTCCTGAAATAATTGACAGTTGTAAACCATTTTGAAAATTGGAGAAACTAAAGCTTTGAGATTCTTAATAAAGCATCAAAGTACTTCATTGTTATTAGGAAGCACATCATGTTATGAACCATAGTACCTAGATTTTGAAAACACAATCACCTGCTCAAACATTGGAGACTTCCTTTGAGTCTGTGGAAGATGCCCTGGAAACTTCCCAATGTGTTATGCAAATTCACAAACAGCATTGGCTTCTCTGGAGGCTGCAGAGACCTTCAGCATCTATAGAACTTCTTAGTTTAACTCGGTACCTTCAACTGCTTGGTGCGCAGAGGCCTTGTGGAGGAAAGGTAGCTTCAGTCAAGGCACAATGTACCTGCAGGGAATGAGCGAGTCTGGGAACCACTGTCATATCCAGCTCAAGGGCACAATCAAGGGCAGGTCCAGAAGGGGCTGGGGAAGGATTTCCTTGTAGCATATGAGTTTCCTTTTCCAAAAGATAATTTAAAACAGAATTAGACAAGGCACGCTTGTGTCAGATTAAATACATATTTCTACGAGGAATATTTAACTGCATCAAGAAAAGAATGAGCACCACACTTAAAGGGGTGGCGAGGAGGGGGCACATTTCTAGGAAGTGTCTCTAACTGTAGGTTGACATTTCCCTTAATTCAATTCTTTCTCATAGCAACCCTGTAGAACAGTCTAGGACTGCCCTTGTAGGCTTCTGAGTCTGTAAACCTTCAGGACAGTGGAGAGCATTATCTTTCTCCTGAAGAGCCACTGGCAATTTAGAACGACTGACCTTGCGTTTAGCAGCCCACGGAGTAATTGATCCCCACGCAGAGGTCTCTCCAATGTACCTAGACAGTTCTTTGCTAGTCTTGGAGTGACCCTCTTAGATTCCATTCAACACCACTTATGGCTAAATAGGCAGAGGTATGCAAATAGCCCCCTCCCTCTGTTGATAAAAACTATCCCAGTCCCAACTCTGAAGCTCTTGGAGGGGTGCTC